AGCGTGGAGAGGCTCGACAGTCCGTAGAGCGCCCAGGTGTCCAAACTGATGATTGAGTTTCCTGTCAAGTGCCTGCGGGATACCGTGTTATTTGAAGGTGAGAATAAATACCATTTTTTTCTTCTTTTTACTATTTTCTAAGTAAAAATAGCATTGAGAGGAAGAATGAATCATCAAAGGCATATGTACAAAAAATGGCTGGAAAAATTATCATAGCAACGACAATGATAAAAGATGTCATATTAAAGGTAATGGTAAGGATGGTGATGATGATGATGTGATGCTAAATAACAAAAAAAATGGAAATGCATTGGGGATAAAATCGTTGAAATGTCGTGATGCTGATTGCAATTTGCTAATTATGCAACCGAAGGAATAAAAAGAAACAAGGATAGATTACCCCCGCTTCCGTATTCTCTGTTCTTTATCCTCCTCCTTGTCCCTCGTGCTAGCCCTTTCTCCTCGCTCCCTCGCCCTCATTCCCCCTTCCAAACCACGCGAAAAGGAAAACATACAGCTAATATCTTTTTCGTGGAAGGGGAATAGAGATACAACAGGGAGATTACATTCACTTCAGTTTTATTCACGCGGAAATGGTTCTTATGCAAAATATGTGTTCTCTCGAGGAATAAAATATGACATACTGAAGCGACTAAAGAACTCATTTTTTGAAAACTCTTGAATAAAGAACTATTCAATGTAGCAGAGCCAGTTTTCTGCTGATGGATGATAATATTCTTCTATATCATGTCAAACATCATTATTTTCAAACGAAGTAAAATGCAATGGTTTGTTACGTTGGTATTCATATAGAATCGGGGAGGTTCACAATTTTCAACATTTTCACGAGCGTACAAAGCGCGCACGCTAGGGGGGAGGGTTAAACCGTCGCACGCTTTTTAAATTCTATGAAAACGCCGATGTCAGACCTCATCGAGTCCTCAGTATCTGTGGGTAAATACCGCTTTCCTGATTTAACCTCGCCCCCATGACCTTTTGTATTCTTGATTTTAAATATGGTGAATAAATTCATTCATTAATTAGTACATTTAAAAGTTGGTACGAAATATTTCTCAGAATTACCTAGTTCTGATAATTGTCCCAATTGAAAATGATGCCGACATTTCTCCCAAGTGAAAATGACTCCTAATTATGAAAATTATCCCCTGCCAACTATCAGGAATATTTTCGCGGGACTAAAATGTCTAACATCAACAATTTCAGGTGTACGGTTTTAGGGGGACGGAGGTGGGGGGGGGGGGTTAAGCAATAAAGAATGCTCTTTGTACGCTTGTGAAATTGTTGAAAATGCTGAACCACCGCTTAGAAACAGAGACATCGTGGTGCGTGAAATAGGAAGTGGCACGTTGGCAACAGTGAAACACGACAGGAAATTTATACGTTAGCAACTTGTATATCATTTCTATTATCCTATTTTATTCATTACTAATCATTTCTTCTCTCAATTCTTTATTAATTATTTTCTTTTCCTTTTTTTTTTTAAGGCACAACTGCTTTCAAATGTTTTGTATTTCGTCTTTCGTCCAGTCCTGCTTCCTTTCCATTGAGTCGTAATAATAAACGTTTTAAATTCCATACCGTTTCTGTCACTATCGCATGCATCATAGCGGTTATATCATTAATACGTTGCCAGAAAATAAAGGTTAAGAGCCACTGTATCAGATTAACTAATAAAAAAAAAATAATAAATAAAGGCATGACGGCAGTAAAAAAGAAAAGGAAAATAGTGTTAGGGGTAAACTGATTTAATTCTCTTTTCTATTATACATATATCATAATCTCATATTTAGATAGTTCCATAAATTATGATAAAGATTATGTGATTAAATAACTGCACAATATATACGATAAGTATTACGGAGAATAAAACAATAATTGGCGGAAATTTAATTAAGCTATTCAGTCAAAGATTCGGTTCATTAGGAAGAGTGGAAAATCCTTTGATGATCATGAGAAAATAGAGCTAAAATTTCCCCCAGTATCCAAGCGAAATATGCATGCTTTGCAAATATGCTTTTGCTCATTCCATCTTACGATTTAGCGGATATAATGTTAACGTGAGAACTATTGACATACTGTTGTCGGTTTCATAGAATGCCAAATGCAAAACAAAATTTCTTCACACTTCCTTGTGATAACGAAGCTTTACATAAAGAAAAAAATCAAAAGAAAATATCTATAAAATTCAGAAAATATATTCTATTTCACTCCCTATAAAATTCATCGGTGCTGCTTGTCTCACTCTTAGAATTTATGATCGTCTTTTGTTTTCTGCCTTTGGGTTGCATTACACATGGACGCTACCAATTTTATTCCGACACTCTTTGTTCTATTCCAACCCAAGATTTTCTACGGCATGCATGTCGGTCATGAATTATGTCCGCTCCAGAAACGCCTGAATTTTGCCATGCACTTTCCGTGTTTTTTTTTTTTTTTTTTTTTTTTTTTTAATGCATACAAATTCGATCAGTACTGTTGTTATTGTCATAATTGTTGGTATCGTTCTTATCATTGCAATAAGTGTTGTTCTTCATCGATGCAATGATGATAATAATGATAATGATGATAATAAAAATAATCATAATGATAATAATAATGATAACGGTAAGAATAACAATAACAACAATGATAATAATAACGTGTGTGTATGCAGTTTGATATAACATTTTTTCGTCCATTTATAGAAAAATATAAAAGCTTCACATTTCATTTCCGCTTCAGGAAAAGAAAGGAAAGAAGCGAGGGGGAGAAGGAGGAGGGGGATGAGGATGGGGAGGAGGAGGAAGAGAAAGATAATGATAGTAGTGGTAGTGATGATGATTGTGATGGTGATAGTGACGATGATTACGATTATGATGATTGATGATATTGAAAAAGATGATAATAATGATATTCGCAACTACAAGCAGTCAGAGAGCGCATACCTCTGTCAAGGCAATACGGTCACATGAAAATCACCTCTTTCTCAAGTACAAGGGTGATGTCCATGTTTCTTTTGTCTGGACTTCAATGTGGTGGTGAAGAATAGTATGCTTTTATTTTTTTCCGAAACATAGCTATAGCATTTTTTATTTTTTAGTTGATTTTAGTAGCAAAAAAGTTTAAAGTTGTCCCTATTTTGCAATGCTTGTGAATCCTTTAAAAAAAAATCTGGATCCGGATCACCACCAAAATTTAATCTAATGGCATCTAACTTGGACTAAGACACATATCTGGTAAAAGAAATCATAAAAATCATAACTTTTTGAGTTACCCAACAAACCAACAAACCAACTAACCGACGCTACCAAAAAACATAATCTCCTTGTGGATGTAATCAATAAATGATGGTGATAGCGATGATGATAATTGATAATGATGATAGTAATAGTTATAATAGTACTGATGATGATCAAGATGAAAATGATGATAGTGATGATGGTGGTGATGATAGCGATAATGATGATTGATGATGATAGTATTTGTAATAAAACAATGACGAATATAATGATGATGGTAGCAATGCTGAATGGTACTCAAATGCGTATTTGTGTTTATATATATCTTAACCTATATGTGTATGCATATATGCATATTTGTACACACACACACACACACACACACACACACACACATATATATATATATATATATATATATATATATATGTATGTATGTATGTATGTATGTATGTATGTATGTATACGTATATAAACAGTCAAAATTGTATTAGCGGTCAGTTTTGTATTGCAGCCATCTGGCCATACCGGTAACTTTTTGCAGGTCCCTTGGATTACCCCATTGACCTATGCATTAAGAATTCAGTCTATAGTAGTCAACTGTCCCATGCGATCGCGGTCACACGATTTCCGGTCCCGCCGATGTAGCAACACTGCCGATTACGGTCACGCCGAACTTCCCTGAATGCCACAGCGGCCGTATCGCGAGTGGCATCGCATGACGACCATTCCCGCGCCGTCGGCTCATCGGACGGAGCTGGTTTTTCTCCGATAGCAGCGGCATCATTTGTATGCTTAAACTTTTAGGCAATAGCACCTGAAGTGAATAGAAACCTTCAAAAATGTTGTTATGTTTTTAATGATATCAAAACATAAGCTTTTAGGGGCCTAATGTTGTCTGTGAACTACCGAACGAGCCAGGCGCTAACAGGGACCAACAACCCCGCGTTAATGGTCACTTTTTTGCTCGTGGACAAATAATCAGCTTTTTTTTTCTTTATAGTAGTCACCTGTTTATAGTGGTCACATTTGGCCAGTCCCTTGAGAGATCGCTTTAGACAATTTTGAGTGTATATATATGTATATAAATATAAATATATATATATATATATATATATCATATAAATATTTCTATAAACATATATATATATATCTATACGCGAACATATATATTCAAGTATACATAAACACAAATACGCACTTGACTACCCAGGCGAACACACACAGTTTCTTCTCAGACAAAAGACAGACAAAAGAAATCCCAGTTGAACTCACAGCGTCCTGAGATTCGCTAATCCGACGAAAGTGGAGTTGGGGACGGCGCTGAGGAGGTTGTCTCGCAGGTCCAAGATCCGGAGGCGAGACAGCAGAAGGAAGACGCCAGCGGGGAGGTGGGATAAGCTGTTGTTGCTGAGGTCTCTGCTCAAATGAGGAAGAGAGGGGGGGGGGAGAAGACGGGAGGTAGGCAGAGGAAAGAGAGAAAGGAAGAGAGGGGAAGCAGGCAGGGGAAGAGAGGAAGGGGGAGACCAAGAAACAGGCAGTGGAAAGAGAGGAAGAGACGGGGAGCAGGTAAGGGAAAGAGAGGGGAAAGGGATGAAGGAAGAGATGGGATAGAGGAAGGAAGAAACAGGAAGCAGGCAGCGGGAAGAAAGGAATGAAGAGAAGGAAAAGAGAGCAAACAGGCAGAGGAAAGCGGGGAAGGAGGTAGAATGGGGGATGTTCAAGCGAAAAGGGAATTAAAGAAAGGGTGTGAGGGAGAAG